TGACACCAAATTTGCACAGCAATATACAGACGGCTTCATAGACAGAATCTGTTCCATTCACCTATCCGCTTAACTACATTTAAGACTAAGCATACAATTAATTAATCTTTTAAAACAGTTGTACTTCTTATTTTCTTTCAAGCACTAGAACTTATTAGTGCTGTAATACAGATTGTCAGTACAGCTGTACAGTTGTTCCGAGTATATGTGGTACATTCCGTTCATCTAGCGCACAGGTTGCCAGTGCTGCAATGAATTTGTAAGTTCAGACTTATGATCTAAAATACCAAGAAAGACAACTCTTGTAATTTGCCAAAGCAGTACTTATCCTACTATATTGAATTTCACAATCAAGTTAAATTCATTTTTACATATCCAATTGCAAACGATACGTAGACTATTTGTGTGAACTAATTTATCATATACGAAACTTGCTGTTAAAGCAGAAGTTTGATTTCACTACATATTAGCGTTTTTCGAAGAAATCTATTTCATTACATATACAATTTGTATTTATCTTTATATTGTGTAGATAACAAATATTCTGTTTCTAACGCCAAAAATAATATCATATAAATATCTAGTTTTATTATATGGTAAATATAAATACATATACATATATTTTACATATATGTGACACCAGTAAAAATCAACATAAAATCGCTAAATATCATCAGCTTTATTTGAAAAACCTATTTTTATATGATAATTGACAAATACAAAAGATGATTATCATTCATGTAAATAAAAAATGATTTGGTCCAGTTGATAGTCTGAACGATAGAATCCTACCTAGATCTATATGATAGAGCATTTAACAAAAAATTGGTACCCATTTTTCATCCATACCTGTAGTTTGAGCTCTCTAAATGTGGATGATACTTACGCATAATCATGTTGATATTGTGGATAGGTAATTTGATCAACACAAGGTCAATGATACTAACTGTGATGATGCTGTCAGAGGTTTATAAAGCTGACTTAGGTTGACAGAAATGCTCATAGCGTTATTGTAATTTCAACTCGAAAATTATTTCAAAGGTTAGTACTTGTGTACCAAGAAAGATAACTCGTATCTCCAATCGCGATAGCAGTATCAAGAAAGATAACTCGTTTTTCGATAGGCATCAAATCGATATATAAAGAAAGATAACTCGTATTCCCGATATGGAATACATCTCGATAGAAGTTTCAAGAAAGATAACTCGCTTTTCATTCTGCTTTACACCGATATATCAAAAAAGATAACTCGTCTAAATGTAATTTACAAATTACATTCTACAAACTTAATTGGATCTTTAAAAATCCCAAAGTCTGCACCATGTTCATTTTTATTTAATACTTATGTAGTAAGCGCTTGTGCAACTGTTGAATTTCAGCATTTTATTTCCATGAACAATTTGAATGTGACGACAAATCAACCTTGGGGGTTGGCCATGAAAGGCCAAAACCTTCAAGAGACGCTTACAAATCTTAAGATATCAATACATAACAAACTACGGTAATTCACTTCCTCTTTGTTTTAAATGTATTTGATTTTTTGCAAACTGTTATAACTTTACAACCATACTCCCTAGGTGTGGTTACATCGGTGGGGTGAGAAAAATGGACACCGTGAATAGTGATTTCTTCATTTCAACAATTTTATTGCACAGATTCTTTTTCTATGGATCCAGTGTTATATATGATTCAACATGAAGAAATATGACAATACATTCATTGAAAACATTAAACAACACACGATCAACCTCATATAGGATACAAACAGAAACACACCATATCATCATTCAATCATAGGATACGATACATACCGCTCACACTCATACAGCTCAGCACTCACTGTAAGTCAGTCTAGCTAGTATCCACGTATACACAGCAGAAATAATGACCCAGCAAAGAATCGTGTGGCTTTACAAACGATGGCAGTCTTTATATGATGTCATCAAAACAGCTGATGTTCCATCGGTCCAGTTCATTCTAGGCATACCATGGGGTTTGGATCAAGACAGTTTTATGAATACCAACATCTACGTTTCCATACGATTCGTTGAGGAGGCGGCGATATCTTGATCAAATAGTTTTATAGTAGAGTTTTGACAAAGGAGGTCCAGACACATTGGCCGTAAAAGGGTGTGGAAAACAAAGTCTTGCTGCTTCTGCTGCTGCGATCCAGAAATGTTTGTCGTAAAGGGTCACGCGAAAAGCGGAACCCCTGCTGCTGCTTTTGTTGTTGCTGTCGCTGTGATCCAGAAATGTTTGCCGTAAAGGGGTGTTGAAAAAAGAATCCCTGCTGCTGCTGCTGCTGCCTGCTGCTGCTGCTGCTGTAAAACACCTTTTCCTAAGTAAGATGGCTGTCCTTTTGGATGTTTTTTTTTTATATGAAGTTTCAAATCTTAGACCTGTACATATTTTCACGAGACAATTCATACACGTCATTAAAAAATGGAACAATGTGTTAAGGAGAAGTGAACCGATAGAAATGGCGATAAAATGTCCCCTTCATTTAAACCGATCTTGCAAATGAGGAAATCTGACTAGCCATTATTGCCGTTCATCACGCACGATTTGGTGTTGTGATATAATTATAAATGACCGTGATTTTTTTTTTCTATTTTGTAATTTTCTCCACAGTCCGGCAGTCCACACAATATCGAAAGCTTTTTTAAAGTTAATGAAAGAGCAAAATAGTATCTTCAACTTTTGAAACATATAAAGACATGAAAGAGTGTAGTATGAAGACGTTTTTAATAGTAGTAAAAAATCATGTACAAAGTTCCGCCTGAGCAGATGATACAAGATTTATAATATCGGATAACCTAGTTAATGTATTATTGATTACAGAGGTAAATACTTCGCAAACATGACACAAGTGTTATAGTCCTGTAATTATCTGGGTCCATAGCTTCTCCTTCATTTTTATATATCGGTTTTATTATGCAAACTGTCCACTCCGTGGGCTTTTTTCTATATTTAGAATTTATATCATCCAGGGGCTACAATCACTTTCACACTTTCGCTCTCTGCACTCATAGAACATGTCATGGCAAAATTGGATATTCCATGTGCGAGACACAGGACAAAAAGACTGGTTTGATCCTTTGATATACATCAAACGAATCTCGAGGTCGCTTAATAATATAATGTAATGACTTTGGAATTTGGTGTCGCTCCTTTGTAATCTTCAGAAGAAACGTATTAGTCTGTGATTAGTCTTTTTTTCTCTCAGTGGAACCAATCAAATTACTTCGCTGTGCCTTCAATTTTTCCATGAAATATTTCAGGGGTGCAGAGAGCGCAAGTGACCGTATTCCCTGGGGTTATATAAACCTATATATATATATGGACGAGAAATTATGGATCATACTTTTTATGTCAGAACTTAAGTTTCGACTGCTTTAATTATTTCAGTCGCAGAAATTGAGATAACCTGAGAAATCCTTCTCATTATCAGTATCTAGTAAAATCATGACATCTTTGTCTTCATCGTGGTTACCAAGGTTTTAAAACAGTCGTAAAATTCATCTATTGTATTTTACTTCGATGCGATTTTGATTTACCTGGTAATTTATACAGCATATCCCATAGAAATTTCGGGCTGTCTTTCACAGAATTTCTGTTTTCTTTTCCATGTTAAATTTGCTATGACCGGCCTGACCAGGGCAATTTCGTCGGCCTGTGAAACGTGAAGATAATTTTCGTAACAAAAATATTACTAATAAACAAAAGCAACATATCACAAAAGTTAAATGAGTCAATCTACTCAGCTTTTTAATGTCATCCATTTGATTTGTTCCATATTTCGGGTAGAAAATGGTATACAGTAGAGGGTGGTATTTTTTGTTGACAATAGCACAAACATGCACTGTGTTTTACAAATATAAAAAGTAACAAACATTATTTGTCACAAAAGTTAGCACAATCACGGACTTGTATATCTATATTTAAGTCCGTGGCACAACCAATTTGAAAATTATTACGATTTTTAATACTGTTTATTTGAAACTGATTAGTTGTGTATATTTTTGTTTAGAAAAACAGCAAGGGGAGTTAACTTGAATTTCTTCTCTATCGCGTTACAAAAGGATATCGGCAGTTCCTTAAAATTCCTCTGTATTACACGTTACTGGTTGTTCCACCTCTCAGACCAGTTATGATTTTCATTGCCACTAATTGTATAGACTCTGGTAAAGTCCCTTCTGCAGTTTTACAAGTATCTCTAACGGATCCATAGTCTGATATCGGCCTAATATGCTCTAACGTTTGTAAAATTAGCTGAATTTCCTTCGTGTACACGTGTTTATTCTAAGTTTAAGCTGCATCACCTTAATGAGTCTTTTATTTTACGTTTATAAAAGATAAATTTAAAATCTCTCCTAACCAGTGTACGCAAATATCTCAAAACCTCCAAATAAAAGTTAAGAAAAGATTTTTGAAAAGATTTTTTCGGAAGATATCGTCGACAATGATGACGTATGTACATTGGCTGTCAGTCAATTGTGAATAATATAGTCAACTAGTAGACATATAAGTTTGCAATATATTCTGCTGTAGTGCCCCGGAAAACAGTTTAATCATTATCCCTAAAATCTGTGCCCTCTCTGATCAAATTTAGTCACAAATTGACTTTGACCTAATGAAACAGACTGTTACGCTCTGTTTGTTGTATAGTCTATTACGAAACGGCCCTTAATTTTACGACTGGTGAATAACCTGATTCTCGGATATTTGATACAGGCTTTCTGTAATATTAAGTGTATACATTGTCTCCTTTTCATAAGGCGCGCGCTCGAACAATGCTGAAGACTTTTTTTTTTTTAGGAAACAATGAAAAGTCTTTCTGAATTATTTCTTTAATAACTAATTTCTGTAATTACATCAGTGTGACGGGGTTACCCAAGGGTTACTGACAGCGGTGTGAATGTTATTTTAGAATCCGAATTCCGTGTTTTGTAATCTATTCCTCATGGTCAAGGTCAACCGTGATCACATGACTACGCTTTCCGTGCTGAAATCTTCGTCATTTTCAGCTTCGCGTGGGCTCAGACAGACGTATTTTAGTGCTTTTGAAAGGTGTCAGGCAGGTTTTGAAATATGGCTACCATGAGAGGATCGGCTAGACTCTTCCAAACCCTCCGCCCAGCCTGCTCACAAGGTACGTAGGCCTACCTAGGCGACGCTGCTTCCAGTCCGTGTCCTACATGTTGTATACACGACAGCCATTTCGTACACATGTGTACGGAATGAAACCGGCTGTCGAGTTTATGTGTCAACTTATTTATTTGGGTGATTACATTCGTTCTTACAACCAAGACATTCAGTATATTTATATTTCAAACGTTTCAGTTGGCGATGTGGCTAAACACGGCATACTTTATTGGAACTTCGGATGAACTCTGACCCCGCGAGCAAGTGTCTGTACTGGGACTATCACTTTCCACCTAGTTGTATAACTGTCTTGTTTATTTATTAAAGTTAGATATGTTGCGAGCGTAAGATATTTTGTGTGGTAATATTTATCTTACACAACTTAAATTTGTATCCTTTATGGCATATTATCTGACGGGCACATGCATGTCTCGAAGATATTTTTAATTAAATATAGGATCATTGGCCTGTTACGTATCCGTAGTCTTAAATGGATATGTAAGAAGGTCTGTTCAAACACTGGGAATTGTCTGGCGCGTACTTATATAAATATTTTATCATACCGGATCCAGGATAGACACGTGTGTATGAGCTACATCTACACATTTATAGGCGAGGCTATCAACCCGACGAGACCAGAAAACGTACCTTATCTGTCTATGTTTGCAAGCCACGGTTAACCGTCATAATATGAACTTTAAGATGAAAAAAAGCAGGAAATAAAAAGAACACATTATTTAAACCCTTAGCTCCTAACTATAGGGTCTAATGACATTGGGGGCTTGTGCGCCAATTGTCTACATGTACAATGTAGGTATTGTATTTGATGTTTGTAAAGCAAATATTTTAAAAAGGATTTAAAATGAATTACAGGAAAAAACCCTAGAACAAACATACAAAATTCATAATGATCACAATTTATTACATAACTGGCCTGTTGTGTCATGTCATATATACTCGAGAACATATGTGTAATAACACTAATTTGACCTCAAAAGACAAATCACGTTTTCATGAAATCATACGATTGTCTTCGTGAAAAAAATACTGTCTGTGTCAAATAAACCCAGTTTTGAATAAAGGGTAATTAGTTTTGATTTTTTATTTATTTTCAGAAATATATGTCATATGATGAATAGAATATTAAACTCTTATTGCCAACGTAATATGAAATTAATAAACTTGTTTAATAGTTTGATATGTCCATCACCTTAAGGCATGTGACACAAGAATTATTGAATTTATTTCATAAATTCCATATCACAAAGACATTAATGCAACTTTATGTATGTACAGACGAAATGACAAAATACAGGCGAGATAACAGGTACAGGTGAGATGACAGGTACAGGTTAGACTGATACAGTTTGGAAAAACTGATACAGATGAGCTGATAGATACAGGTTAGACTGATAGATACAGGTGAAACTGACTGATACAGATGAGACTGACTGATACAGGTGAGGTGACAGATACAGGTGAGTTGACAGGTACAGGTGGGATGACAAGTACAGGTCTGGTACAGGGGAGACTGACTGATACAAGGGAGATGACAGATACAGGTGAGACTGGCAGATACAAGTGAGAGTGACAGATCCAGGTGGGGCAACAGGTAAAAGTGAGACTGATAGAAGCAGATGAGACTGACAGATACAGGTGAGAAAGACTGATATATGTGAGATGAGTGAGATGAGATACAGGTGAGACAGCAAGCAGGGATGAGATGGTGGGTACAGATGAAGTAATGGATACCTGTATGATGATTGATCATGATGAGATTGCAAGCATTAGTGAGATGAGATACAAGTGATATTGGGAGAGGTTGGTGAGGAGAAGGAAGGTGTAGGAGGAACAGTTTGGTGAGAAGAACATGGTTGGTGTGAGAGGGAGAGGTTGGTGAGAAGGACATGGTTGGTTTGGGAGGGAGAGGTTGATGAGAAGGGAAGGTAGGTGTGGGAGGGAGAGGTTGATGAGAAGGAAGGCAGGTGTGGGAGGCAGAGGTTGGTGAGAAGGGAAGGTAGGTGTGGGAGGCAGAGGTTGGTGAGAATGGAAGGTGAGTGTGTGAGGGAGAGGTTGATGAGAATTAGGTGTAGAGAGGGAGAGTGTGAGAAGGTAGGTGTGGGAGAGGTTGGTGAGAATGGAAGGTGAGTGTGTGAGGGAGAGGTTGATGAGAAGGTAGGTGTAGAGAGGAAGAGGTTGGTGAGAATGGAAGGTGAGTGTGTGAGGGAGAGGTTGATGAGAATTAGGTGTAGAGAGGGAGAGGTTGATGAGAAGGTAGGTGTGGGAGGGAGGGGTTAGTGAGAAGGAGAAGGGAGGGGGAGAGGTTGATGAGAAGGTAGGTGTAGAGAGGGAGAGGTTGGTGAGAAGGTAGGTGTAGAGAGGCAGAGGTTGGTGAGAAGGTAGGTGTAGAGAGGGAGAGGTTGATGAGAATTAGGTGTAGAGAGGGAGAGGTTGATGAGAATTAGGTGTAGAGAGGGAGAGGTTGATGAGAAGGTAGGTGTAGAGAGGTAGAGGTTAATGAGAATTAGGTGTAGAGAGGGAGAGGTTGGTGAGAAGGGAAGGAAGGTGTGGAAGAGAAGTTTCCGATAAGGAGAAGATAGGTGGGGGAATGAGAGATTTATGAGATTGGAAGGAAGGTGTTGGGGAAGAGGTTGATGAGAAGGAGAAGATAGGTGTAGGAGGGACAGGTTGGTGAGAATGGAAGGTACATGTGGAAGGGAGGGGTTGCCGTGAAGGAGTGGGTACGCATGGGAAGGAGAGGTTGGTGTGATGGAAAGGTTGGAAGCATACGGATGGGAGTAGTTGATATGAAGGAGGTGGTAAGGTATAGCAGTAATTTATTTCTAGTTCCTGATATTTCAAAGTTTTTTAGCCCACCATCATCAGATGGTGGTGTATTCAACTCGCCGTCTGTCCGTCTGTAAACAATTCTTGTTACTGCTATTTCTGGGAAAGTACTGGATGGATCTGTCTCAAATTTCATACGCAGGTTCCCCTTGGTCTCTAGTTGTGCATTGTACTTTTTTTGGACTGATTCAAATTCAAGATGGCTCACGGTCTGAGTTAGAAAGTAAAAGTTTGTTACATTTCTGGCAGCCAAATCTGACAGGCAGCCATCTGTGAGTTAGAAAGTAAAAGTTTGTTACTGCTATTTCTGGGAAAGTACTGGATGGATCTTTCTCAAATTTCATATGCAGGTTCCCCTTGGTCCCTAGTTGTGCATTGTACCTTTTTTTGGACTGATTCAAATTCAAGATGGCCGACAGGCAGCCATCTTGGAGTTTAAAAATAAAATTTTGTTACCGCTATATCTGGGAAAGTACTACATGGATCTGTCTCAAATTTCATACGTAGGTTCCCCTTGGTCTCTAGTTGTGCATTGTACCTTTTTTGGACTGATTTGAATTCAAGACGGTTGACAGGCAGCCATCTTGGAGTTTGAAAGTAAAATTTTGTTACCGCTATATCTGGGAAAGTACTGGATGGATCTGTCTCAAATTTCATACGCAGGTTCCCCTTGGTCTCTAGTTGTGCATTGTACCTTTTTTGGACTGATTTGAATTCAAGACGGTTGACAGACGGCCATCTTCGATTTTGGAAGTAAAAGTTTGTTATCGCTATTTCTTGGAAAGTACTGGATGGATCTTTCTCAAATTTCATATGCAGGTTCCCCTTGGTCCCTAGTTGTGCATTGTACCTTTTTTTGGACTGATTCAAATTCAAGATGGCCGACAGGCAGCCATCTTGGAGTTTGAAAGTAAGTTAGTTTTCTGAAAGTAAAATATGTTTGTTACATTGTACCTTTTATGCTATTTCTGGGAAAGTAAAAGTTTGTTACTATTTCTGGATGGATCTTTCACAAATTTCATATGCAGTTTTCCCTTTGTCCCTAGTTGTGCATTGTACCTTTTATGGACTGATTTGAATTCAAGATGGCCGACAGGCAGCCATCTTAGATTTTGGAAGTAAAAGTTTGTTACCGCTATTTCTTGGAAAGTACTGGATGGATCTTTCTGAAATTTCATATGCAGTTTTCCCTTGGTCCCTAGTTGTGCATTGTACCTTTTATGGACTGATTCAAATTCAAGATGGCCGACAGGCAGCCATCTTGGAGTTAGAAAGTAAAAGTTTGTTACCGCTATTTCTTGGAAAGTACTGGATGGATCTTTCTGAAATTTCATATGCAGGTTCCTCTTGGTCCCTGGTTGTGCATTGCACCTCTTTGGACTGATCTGAAATCAAGATGACTGACAGGCAGCCATCTTGGATTTTGAGAGTAAAATCTTGTTACTGCTATTTCTGAGGAAGTACTGGATGGATACTTCTGATATTTCATAGGGATTGGTTCCCCTTGGTCCCTAGTTGTGCATTGTACTTTTTTTTGACGGATTCCAAATCAAGTTGGCCCACAGGCAGCCATCTTGGATGTCGACAGTAATACAGCACAAGCATATTGTCCATTATCCACCTGTAACTGACTGCTATCTAATAATACTTTGGGATTTTTTTCAAATGATATTTGCTAATAGGTGCTTAATAAAAATATCTTGTGCCATCATTGAGTACATTCAATGAACAGTTACAAAACCTGTAACAAAAAATAATAATAAACAAATCTTCAAAAAAAAGAACTGAAAACAGATCCTCAAATGGTGGGTGCCAAGATCCCTCTGGGATCTCTTGTTAATACTGTTTTTGTGGAAATGGTAGTATTTTTTTTTCAACAATTCCAGTAAGTATCATTGAATATTTGCACCATACTTTGGTGTTATGTCATGAATTTTCCTTTAATATAGATTAAAGAAGACCTTAACGAGGAATGTTCACTTACATCTACAAATTGCTCGATTTGTTTTTACTTTGATAGATTGCTATAGTAATCTCAGGAGTGAGTAAATGTGCACAGGAGCGAGTAAATGTGCACATGAGTGAGTAAATGTGCACAGGAGTGAGTAAAGGTGCACATGAGTGAGTAAAGATGCACAGGAGAGAGTAAAGGTGCACAGGAACAGTAAATGTGCACAGGAGTGAGTAAAGGTGCACAGGAGCGAGTAAATGTGCACAGGAGCGAGTAAAGGTGCACATGAGGGAGTAAAAATGCACAGGAGCGAGTAAAGGTGCACAGGAACGAGTAAATGTGCACAGGAGTGAGTTTAGATGCACAGGAGTGAGTAAAGATGCACATGAGTGAGAAAGATGCACGTGAGTGAGTGAAGGTGCACAGGAGCGAGTAAAGGTGCACAGGAGTGAGTAAATGTGCACAGGAGCGAGTAAAGGTGCACAGGAGTGAGTAAATGTGCACAGGAGCGAGTAAAGGTGCACATGAGTGAGTAAAGATGCACAGGAGCGAGTAAAGGTGCACAGGAACGAGTAAATGTGCACAGGAGTGAGTTTAGATGCACAGGAGTGAGTAAAGATGCACATGAGTGAGAAAAATGCACAGGAGTGAGTAAAGGTGCACAGGAGCAGTAAATGTGCACAGGAGTGAGTAAAGGTGCACAGGAGCGAATAAATGTGCACAGGAGCGAGTAAAGGTGCACAGGAGTGAGTAAAGATGCACAGGAGCGAATAAAGATGCACAGGAGCAAGTAAAGGTGCACAGGAGCAAGTAAATGTGCACAGGAGCGAGTAAAGATGCCCAGGAGTGAGTAAAGGTGCACATGAGCGAGTAAAGGTGCACATCATTGTGTAAATTAATGAATTTTCTATTGCGATCAATCTTACAATTTTGAGAAACATCCATAAGTCCTCTGTGCCTTACCTATGTATACATATGTGTGTAGCAGGCAGGGGTCAAATTATAGAACAATCACGTTTTTTTTATTCTAAAATTGGTGTTAAGATAGTTATTCCATATTATGATAAGGTCTTGTTTTCTCAGAATGTAGGTGAAGGAAATCTTCCCATGAATGAAATTTTTATTTAGGTATCACCAACATTGCCATCGAATGACTGGACAACCTGTTAATGTCTGTGATGCTTGATGGATTTCCATGTTTACATGTATTGTGGTCACTGACCGTAAAGTTCAAACAAGTAATACACATTCTTAATATGTATAAACCCTTTTGTTGTTGATCACTGATTTGTAGTGTTTCATGTTTTAAAGGGATATTCAGCACAAGGAAGGATTTCATGGGATGTTTTTGATCAAAAACTGTGTAAAATGATCCAGTGACTGATTTCCTGTTGTTCTATATTTAGATGGTTTTGCTGGAAGTATTGCCAACAATTTCGCCTGTCCAGTCTGACCACAGGAGAGATATCTTTTTGCTAACAGTCATTAGAATCAGTTCATTAACAACACCGAACAGCCAGTTTGCAACTTGGGCCAGAATACCCCTTTACAATCAATATTATTATAAGTGGGATTGTAGTGAATTTCTGTATTGGAGCATCACTGATAGCTTGCAGTAGTAAAACACAAGTATCATATTTCCAGATTATTGTTTTATCAGCGTGGTAGATTGAAAGTGAATCATTAAATTATTGAAATAGTTTCATTGAAGTGTATCAGGTCCACATTCAAAAAATCAAAATAACATGATACAAGCAAAAAATTAGATAACACTTCTGTGTATTGTTTTTATTGAAGTTTGACTGTCCTGAGTTTGTTTGAAGTTTGACTGTCCTGTTTTTATTGAAGTTTGACTGTCCTTGTTTTATCAAAGTTTGACTGTCCTGTTTTTATTGAAGTTTAGCTGTGCTGTTCTTATTAAAGTTTGACTGTCCTGTTTTTATTGAAGTTTGGCTGTCCTTGTTTTATTGAAGTTTGACTGTCCTGTTTTTATTGAAGTTTGACTGTCAAGTTTTTTATTGAAGTTTGACTGTCCTGTTTTTATCAAAGTTTGACTGTCCTGCGTCGTGCGCCGTTTGACTGCCGTGCGCCGTCCGTAAACTTTTCATTCAAACGACTTCCTGTTTCAAATTTAGAAGGTCTAGGGGGCTAATACTTGGCACAGAGGATTTTATTAAAGTTCTACCAAGTTTGTTATTAAATGAATGACCTTGTCCACTTTAAAGTTTGACTGTCAGGGGTCAAATATGTTAAAATCTTAAACAACTTCTTCTTTATTAACCAAAAGGCTCAGAGTTTGAGATATTGGGCCTGTGACATGCTGGGTTTTTATTAAAGTTTGACTGTCCTGTTTTTATTAAATTTGACTGTCCTGTTTTTATTGACTTTAAAGGTCACAGGGGTCCTGTATGTTTGAAATCTTTAAAGTTTGACTGTCTTCTCAAATTTTTATTAGAAGGCCTAGGTTTGGGTCTATTACTTGAATAGTTTGACTGTCCTGGAGCCCTATTAAAGTTTGACTGTCCTGTTTTTATTAAAGTTTGACTGTCCTGTTTTTATTCAAGTTTGACTGTCCTGTTTTTAAAATATAAGTTTGGACTGTCCTGTTTTTATTAAAGTCTATGAGTGCTGTATTGGGTTTTTAGCATGCTTGGATTAAAGTTTGACTGTCCTGTTTTTATTGAAGTTTGACTGTCCTGTTTTTATCAAAGTTTGACTGTCCTGTTTTTATTGAAGTTTGGCTGTCCTTGTTTTATTGAAGTTTGACTGTCCTGTTTTTATTAAAGTTTGGCTGTCCTGTTTTTATTAAAGTTTGGCTGTCCTGTTTTTATTAAAGTTTGGCTGTCCTGTTTTTATTAAAGTTTGACTGTCCTGTTTTTATTAAAGTTTGACTGTCCTGTTTTTATTAAAGTTTGGCTGTCCTGTTTTTATTAAAGTTTGACTGTCCTGTTTTTATTGAAGTTTGACTGTCCTGTTTTTATTAAAGTTTGACTGTCCTGTTTTTATTGAAGTTTGACTGTCCTGTTTTTATTGAAGTTTGACTGTCCTGTTTTTATTGAAGTTTGACTGTCCTGTTTTTATTAAAGTTTGACTGTCCTGTTTTTATTAAAGTTTGACTGTCCTGTTTTTATTAAAGTTTGGCTGTCCTGTTTTTATTAAAGTTTGACTGTCCTGTTTTTATTAAAGTTTGACTGTCCTGTTTTTATTAAAGTTTGACTGTCCTGTTTTTATTAAAGTTTGACTGTCCTGTTTTTATTAAAGTTTGACTGTCCTGTTTTTATTAAAGTTTGACTGTCCTGTTTTTATTAAAGTTTGACTGTCCTGTTTTTATTAAAGTTTGACTGTCCTGTTTTTATTGAAGTTTGACTGTCCTGTTTTTATTAAAGTTTGACTGTCCTGTTTTTATTGAAGTTTGACTGTCCTGTTTTTATTGAAGTTTGACTGTCCTGTTTTTATTAAAGTTTGACTGTCCTGTTTTTATTAAAGTTTGACTGTCCTGTTTTTATTAAAGTTTGACTGTCCTGTTTTTATTAAAGTTTGACTGTCCTGTTTTTATTAAAGTTTGACTGTCCTGTTTTTATTAAAGTTTGGCTGTCCTGTTTTTATTAAAGTTTGGCTGTCCTGTTTTTATTAAAGTTTGGCTGTCCTGTTTTTATTAAAGTTTGGCTGTCCTGTTTTTATTAAAGTTTGGCTGTCCTGTTTTTATTGAAGTTTGACTGTCCTGTTTTTATTAAAGTTTGACTGTCCTGTTTTTATTAAAGTTTGACTGTCCTGTTTTTATTAAAGTTTGACTGTCCTGTTTTTATTAAAGTTTGGCTGTCCTGTTTTTATTAAAGTTTGACTGTCCTGTTTTTATTAAAGTTTGACTGTCCTGTTTTTATTAAAGTTTGGCTGTCCTGTTTTTATTAAAGTTTGGCTGTCCTGTTTTTATTAAAGTTTGGCTGTCTGGTTCAGATCGTATTGAGATTGTTGGTTGGTTAATGCTTCCAACAGATGCTGATCTTGTAAGGGCCTGGCCACATGAACGACCAATAATTATTACATTTGCAGTACATTCTTTTGTTTACATTTGCAATATAGTATGAATTGTAATGTCCATTTGCTTCCAGGTCAACGACGTTTATTGAGTACTGGAACTGGAGCAGGCGCGAAGTCATGGCGGCCACTGGTGCTCGGTGCAATGACGGCTGGCGCAGGCGCTTTCGGAGTATATAAGTACACTTGGGAGAGTAAAAGGAACGTAATTGAGGACCTGCAATCTCTAGCACCAAAACCAGTCCATGCTGTAAACCTCCCTGAGGCTCAGCCCTCGGTAAGGACACTTCCATTATTTGATTTTGGGAAATTGTCTGTTCTGTCTGTCTGAGATTTTATATGAGTGAATTAAGTTCTGTTGATTTGTAGACAATTGTCATATTGCCAGTGAAATTTAAGGATGAAATGAATCTATCCCATTGTACATAACTATGTTGGTATCATTTGTCTTCTTTGTGATGTTATTTGAATTTAAGACTTATTTTGCTGAAGCAATGTGTGCATATTTGAAAGTATCTAATCATGTTGGTGTGAAACAGGTATGGTCAGGTGGTAAGAACAATGCCCTCTACCTGTGGATTCACTTGAAGCCTAATGCCAATGTGAAGGATGTAGCAAAGGTAGCATGCAAGTTGCAGAAGTTTGTAGACCAAGTGGTTGATCCCAAGACCAAGGACGAAGATGACGAGGTTCTGGCTGGTGTTGGGTTCGGACCAAACTTTTACAAACAAGTAATTATCACTGCCACTTATTGGGAATGTTGTGCATTTAAGCATTAGCATTTCTATTGATAAAAAAATTACTCCAATCAAAATTTTAAAAAAATGACATCAGTGTCTGAAATGATAATGATGACAAAATTTAATGTACAACACTAGAACATTACCTCTCCTGTTACCAAACCAAATAGTCAGCAGTATGGTTGAATAAATGATTCATACTGGTAGGAAAGCAGTGTGATTTAATAAACGATCCATACGGGTAGAACAGCAGTATGGTTTAATAAAGAAAATCATACTGGTAGGAAAGCAGTATGGTTTAATAAATGATTCATACTGGTAGGAAATTAATGATATTAGTGATTGAGTAATTTAGCATCTTACTGTGCTTTCTGCCATATTTGGGCACTGTGCAGCAAAACACAAGTTGCAGAGAATGAATATTGATTTTGTAGACAGTTATTTGTGATTAATGAGGGCAATTTGAGCTGGGAGATAGGTGAGTTAATGGTGTGGTTTTTGAGTGTGATAATCATATTACTGATTGAACTCCCTTGTAACTAATATCACAGCCCTGATATCAAGCCAACGTGCTCCTCTCCCACATGCCCTCCGTCTGAGTCCCATGAAATGATTTTCTTTGAGAATTTCTATTTACACCAAATCAAACTAATATTGGATGTTACATATTTACAATCAACCCATATCTGTGAGAGAAATTAATATTGTTGCCTTCAGAATATATAGGATAGGATGAAAGCAAGTAGATGGGGTATAGGTATATACTCTTCTTGAAAAAAAAGTTCTGGTGTTGTCGATAACACTAGAAAGTGTTTATTTTATAATGATTTCAATTGTACAAACTTTTGGTTGATTCACCACAGGCTCTGAGAGAACAGTTTATAGACTCAGAATAATTCAATATAAAATTTTGCAAATGGTTGTTTTTTCTATGGAAACATACTTGTGACTTTAGATGTAATGTTAGACGCAAATATCTGTGTTGTACTGTAATATGAAAGCTGACGCCTGACTAAGACTCTGTGTCGTTTGAAGGTCTTGTAACAGGCCATTAAATAATCTAGATCCATTTGATGCTTGTGTCTCAATCTTAGGGTTACACTCTACATGTACCTCTGTATTGTTGTAAAAGACAGCATACATGTAAAAACAACAGACGGTGGTATTTTCACATTAACGTAACGCATCGTACCATAAATACTCCATGATATTATTGTAAAGGAACTGATTTAACTACTTCAAGCCAAAGTGATAAACACAAGATCTCAATTTTTGTTCTGTACAGGTAAGCTTTGTTATCTTAAGTAAGTTGTATATTTGTACATGTGAAATGTATATTTGGTTTTAATCAAAGCTTACCTGTGCTGTTTTAGATTGGAGGAAACGTAAAGCAAGACTACAACTTTGCCCACAGGAAAGGAGCATTAGGAGATATGCCTAGCTCAGGTATGGTAATATAGGAAAACAATTCACAGTCACCTTAGTGATAGGTCAGTGAATCATTATGGATCATAGATTAGTATGTTAATTTCATTGATAAATGATTATGATGAAATTAGATCATTTCAGTCTAGTTGTACATATATTTTGTAGACTTTGACTGTGAACCCACACGTTCGGGACATCTGAAAAAATACATTGATGTTAAATATATTACACCTGATACATTGTGAAAAAAATGTTGTAAATAGTTTTTCTGTTGTTGATTACTTAACACTTGAAAAATCTCATTTATGTACACTTGTAGTTGATTTTGTATAATATATGTTTTGTCCTGATCTATTATTCTGGGTATGACTGTCTAGATACAATTTGATAGGTTTATTTAGGCAGAAGGATGAAAGTATGTAAACATTTTAAGCTCATTTCTAAATGAAATCATACACAACCCACCAAACCAAGAAAAAGGTATATATGATACAACAAAGTAATATACATGTACCCCAAATTTTTGATGAGCAAATATAAGATATGTGTGTAATATGACATTATAGTCGTTCATTGTCCTGGTACCAGTCCCAAATTTACTCATTGTAAACCAATGACAGAATACCAGTGTGTGAATGAAATTGTCATTCTGTCTCAGAATTCATAAACAGATCTTAAATTATTAAAGGACAAATTTACACAAAGACCCCAAACAGTTCAAAAAACAATAAAACCGTGTGTCGCAGAAGTGTAAGCATTTACCTCTTCAACAACGGCCCTCAACATTGATTCAGTCTGATCGAGTCTGTTGTTATTTTATTCTAACTTTTCATTAAGGTGGTGACGTGTTTTTCCATGCAAAGTGTAACACACAAAGCAAGCTGTTTGAGCTCGCTCAGCTTCTGATGAAGAATATGCCAGCTGGAAGTGTTGACAAGGCAGAGGACATCTACAGCTTTGTATTTAAGAATGGCCGTGATTTGTCTGGTTTTATTGACGGTAAGACAATGGCGTGAATGGTTTGGTAATCGCGTTGTTGTGTCCAAGGATAGAATAGGCTGTTGTAGAGGTTAAACTGGCTTTTAGATGAATTAATATGAATTAACCTGAGACAACAATGTTATGATTTTGGAAAAAAGACACACTGGCTATTAAAGAAATCCCATGTGTTTTACAGGAACAGAAAATCCGGCTGATGATGAATCTCGCCAGAACGTGGCGGTGGAACCAGGCACAGGAGGAAGTTATGTGGTGAGTTTATCATACATACATACTATATAAACAAGAGGAGTTTATATCCTAGGGACTAAAAAACAAATACTCTTGGCATTCTGAACATCATTTCTTTAAACGTTTTCTTGTCCATCAAACTGGATGTTTATTGGTTATTACTTGTTGTCAGTTTTCAATAGTCCAATATCTCCTGGGTCTACACAGTGTGTAAGCTCTCTTGCATCATGAACCAACTGAATTTCAGGACAAATATTGTTTTTATTTTTGGCATTTTGAACCATTTCATTTCCATGCAAGTTTGAGGATATTATGTGGGTAGGTTTATCTTGTATGTTCTTGACAGGCGCTAGTCTTGTAACAAATTTATCTCATCATTTGGGAGAATTACATGACTTTTTTGTACACGTGTACTGTCTGTCTAAAAACAATTTTGATATCAGAACTAACACTTAGATTTGATTTGATACAGTAAGTTCTTTTTATCTAAAACACTAAGGTTGACAGAACTATTACACATGGTAATGTGCTCTATGGGAACTTTGTGTTTATAGATAACCCAGAAATGGATCCATGATTTCAGTGTTATCAACAATGAAAAAGGTAAGTACATTGTCTTCAGAAGTTGGCTGATTCAAATATTTGAATTAACAATATATTACATAAACTTCCTGAATATCTTGACCAACAGACTGTAATATTATATAATGCTGTGTGGTCTGCTGCTGTGATCGTTATTCACATATATCTTACCGTCTCGCATTTAAGTGAGATTTTACATTGTTAACCAGTTATTCAGCAATTAATATATTGTTTATAAAAAAAGTGGATATACAGCTGTTCAAACAAAAGTTTTACATTGTTTATCAGGAAACGAAAACCCTCGTTCTGTATCAATAGGTTGCATGACTGTTACATGAAATTCAGTCACTGAAGTTAAATAAGTAGTGAATACACATACAGACGTATGTAACATGGTGACAAAATTTTAGAAATCAGAATATAGATATTGAGCAGGTTTTAGTTTATGTATTCATTTCAAATTTACTGCATGTTGATGACAAATAAAACATGACATTCTAACAGACCTACAAGGACACCGTACATCTTTTGTTTAATAAATGACAGAGATTGTGTTTATATTGACAGTAAATATAAACACACTTTTAGATGGATGGAGAGATATTTGCCGTGTCAACTGTTACAATAATTACATACATGATTTTCCTCAATAAATAAAAAGTGCTGTGTTCATTTCTACAACAATTAAAGATGTAATTGTATAATAGACAATATAGGGTGCTTGTTATACATGTCTAATGTGATAAAGTAAAGATTTCTGGATGTAAAGCTAGAAAACATGATATATTTACTTCTAATGTTATGAAATAGATACCAAATTTAACATTTGAACTTTGTTATTACAAAAGTGGTACCCAATTTTACATTTGAACTTTGTTATTACAAAAGTGGTATACACTATTTCTATGTGTAACTCTGTCAATAAGGTGTACACATTGTAGTATTACCAGTATGTAACAGTTCTCATTGATATATGATTATGGTGTAATTAAACATTGTACAAAATGTAAAATTGTTACTTCTACCATCATTAAAGATAATAGGCGATGCTAAGGTTTCCACTTAAAAGTCATTAACACCATGTAACATTTCTTTAAACATTTAAATGTGTACATAATGCTCTTATTCTCCTTTAACCACGATCTAAAACTATATCGCCATTAAAAAAAAGTCCACGTAATGTAAGATTTCGTCTTCCATCATTTAAAAAAAAAAGGGGGTTTAAGGTAATGCTTTTTGTTTTTTAATGGACAGACAAGACTATGGAGGGATGGGTTGGCAGGACCAGACCAGACAGTATGGAGCTTAGTAGGAAGTCAATCACCTCACACGTGGCCAGAATGACTGGAGGTAGGTCAACACAATGTCTACTAATTAACTGACCGTTATCATGTTAATTGATTGGCCATGAACTGTCCTTTCTTGTATGTACTAAGGTATACATGTTAGTTAAATATACTGTTCTTTATTCTGAGAATCAACTTGAGTTTTTACTTTAAAGGTATATATGTAATGATCTAGGAAAATAAGTAGCATGAATGTAGGGGGAAAAAGCAAACAAACAAACTGAGGTAAACAAATATTGTATACACCATATTACTAATTCTAACTTCACTCTGTCCGTGAATTCTGAATTGAAATTGTAACATCATAAAACAATTTGTTTGCGAATTACACCAGTGTAAACTTTAACATTTTTATATTAACCTGAAAATATTGATTGATTTAAGGAGACTTTGTTTATTGTTGGAGTACCAAACAATGTTTATGATATTTTGATAGAATTATTATTCCTACTATTTAGGAAATGCTAATAATCTAAAGAAGGTTATGCTTATAATCAAAAGAAGGTTTGAAATGGTTTGACAACTTTATTGTTTATTTAAAGAAATATTTGTAAAAGTGCCGGAAAAATGATATTAAAAAAATATTCCTACTTCAGGAAATGCATACCAGCAAAAGAAAAAGTTTGAGATGGTCCGACAGTCAATGCCATTTGGAACAGTAACAGGCGAGGCGGGTCTCTTTTTCATTGGCTATTGTGCATCTCCTGACAATTTGAACTTCATGATCGATCGTATGGTTGGAGCTGGAGGTGATGGTCAGTCTGATGACATCATGAAACTAACAAGGAATGTCAAAGGAACCTACTGGTACTTCCCAGGAACATCAGAACTCACCAAACTTGCATAAACTGGTGCTGTAACGCACTCAGCTGATTGTAATGTGATTAAGGACAAGGAAAAGTAGGAAAGATGTTGTAAAATTTCATTTTGTAAATAAGTTTGTCATGCAGTTAGTTAATGTATGACATTTATGACTCAAAAGTTCCTGAATTTCATTGATGCAAACATTTTCAATTTTCCTTGGAACAAGCTGATAAAGATGTCTTTAGTGTTACTGCTTCAAGTCCCCATAGTGTTGAACAAAAGGTCATTGTGTTGTTAGATATAGGGCAGTGTCTTTATTCTACATAATCAGTGATATATTAGCTCTAGTACTTTCATGTCAGATGATAATACATTGTACAAGTTGGTACAGATTTCTATCTCAAAAAGATTTATATATTAATATATATTTTGTATAGACATTAATAAGGGTCGGGATTTTTTTTTGTCTGAAATATTCATGACAAATATATTCTAGAATACAATAAAGTATTTTAGGTTGTAATTATGAAAGTTTTTTTTATCTTTTACAATCTTTACACGTTCACTTACTTGTACTTACATTCTTGTCGCAGAACCCGAATTCCTGTTCATGTTACTACAGATTTTATATATTAGTGACATTTACCACCAGTACGTATAGGACCATCCGAAATGAACTGAGTTGTCTTTCTTTAACTGCACGAGTTAACAAGCTTAGCAGCAGCATTTGAAGTAAAGCAAATTCTATGCAAACAAACAAGACTGTAGAGGAAAAAGCATCTTCTGTCTATGAACTGAAGAATTACACTGCTGTTGATGAATGTGTTGGCTAGACAACTGCAACAGAGAACTCAAGACAATACTGTTATCATCGTCTCAAGATGGCTTCCAACCATCTTTACACATTTTGACCCTTTCCTGGTTGGTGGGTGACTACACATTTTGACCCTTCCCTGGTTGGTGGGTGATTACACATTTTAACCCTTCCCTGGTTGGTGGGTGACTACACATTTTGACCTCTGGTTGGTGGGTGACAACACATTTTAACCCTTCCCTTGTTGGTGGGTGACTACACATTTTGACCCTTCCCTGGTTGGCGGGTGACTACACATTTTGACCCTTCCCTGGTTGGTGGGTGACTACACATTTTGACCTCAGGTTGGTGGTTGACAACACATTTTAACCCTTCCCTGGTTGGTGGGTGACTGCACATTTTGATCCTTCCCTGGTTGATGGGTGACTACACATTTTAACCCTTCCCTGGTTGGTGGGTGATTACACATTTTGACCCTTCCCTGGTTGGTGGGTGACTACACATTTTGACCCTTCCATGGTTGGTGGGTGACTACACATTTTGACCCTTCCCTGGTTGGTGGGTGACTACACATTTTGACCCTTCCCTGGTTGGCGGGTGACTACACATTTTGACCCTTCCCTGGTTGGCGGGTGTCTACACATTTTGACCCTTCCCTGGTTGGCGGGTGACTACACATTTTGACCCTTCCCTGGTTGGCGGGTGACTACACATTTTGACCCTTCCCTGGTTGGCGGGTGACTACACATTTTGACCCTTCCCTGGTTGGCGGGTGACTACACATTTTAACCCTTCTCTGGTTGGTGGGTGACCATGGTGATCAATGCTTGCTAATACTTGGTTTCGGCTCTGCTGATGTCTTCTGTACTATAGCCATCAGGGTGCCCTGCACGTATATTCCGGATAATTGCCGTTTTGTTAACAAACGTCATGACTGAAAGGAACTCTGTCGCCAACTTCTACCGGGAACAGCAATGTGTCTACACTTCGCTGTATGCTCATGGTATTTGGTAGCTTCTTGTTAATGTTCCTCATTGCACATTTCCCGTGTAACCATCGGTTACATTAACACAATGTACAAAGAAACACCGTCAGAATATGGAGCAGTAATTTATGTCCCGTATGGTAACTCCAGTTTAAATGAAATTCGTCTGGACAAAGTAAATGTGCTCGGCAATGTTTAAAACTCTTTCTGTTATTATTAACTATATTCTTACTTGTAAAATAGGTGTACATACAAAAAGTTGAAATGGACGCGTATTTCACACATGAAGTACTTTTTCATTTATCATACTGCGATGCAATATAAACGTAATTGTTCCTCTGTCGCCAGTGAACTTTGTCGCGGGTCGGAATGCAGTTAAATAGTAAAGCTAACCCGTAGATATAATTTAGCTTTAAATAATACAACACAAGCACATAACGATCACGTAGCAATGATATATTAATATCTATCCAATGATCACGTGACACGCTAGAGAGTGCTGTTATTTAGAACGTCTGTACTGGTCGACAAGATTACATGGTATAGTACATTACTTGTTCAGTCTAAAAACAACAATAAATAGATAAATCTTTTCTGGTACTGTTACCATTCTTAATTACAAAACTGGTGTAGATGTCAGAAGTTGAAACCGTTAAAATTCTTATACCAAGAGGTAACAAATGCATTACGGACGAAATGGATATTACGTATTGTCCTTGTCTAGCCCCGAATTATACGTTAACACTTTCAAATTATGGAGATGATTATAATTGTCTTCATTGGATTTCAGACAGACAGAAAGTACGCCCAGTAGATCAGATTGAAGACAACAAATGATGTAGGATATAAGAATTTGACAATACGCTCAAGTCTTTTGTATCTTACACTGGTACACGCTTTCCTTTTAGGCTTTTTCCCCTCTTCCACCTAAAACATGTAATTAAAGAAAATTATCTTTAAAGGAAAATGTGAAACGCGCACTTTGTCGTAGGTAATGCCAGATTTAAATTTTGAATAATTCATTTATGTTATGACTGATAGAGTTTAGCGACAGACAATGAAAAACGGGGTGAAAATGTCTTGAAAAGTAAGGAGATTTACTGGAAATCGCAGTCTGACATGTCACCAAGGTTGTTAGAATTACGTTAAAAATATAGGTGTTATATGTCTTCACAGCAATAATAACTTACTATTAGTTTATCAGCCGCCTGAGCCTTTCTTTGACTGGCGCTGTCTTCATAATGAGCTATTATAAATGTCACTAGCGCCCACACAGTGAACAGCAGACAAACCATCAGCCAGGCATCCACCGCCAAAACGTCTCCATCATCATCAGAGATCACCATCAACCCGACGGTCTGCGTCATTAGTGACAGCACACAAACCACACTTAGCCCCGTACGTGCAGGCACCTGGCGCACATCTATCCACAGGCTAATCCAAGACAAAAATACAACAACGGCGCTCGGCAGGTAAATGCGAACTAGATATACATCGAAATTTCTCCTCAGCAACAAGCTCAGCTCAACGCAAGGTTGTTCATCTGAAATGTGATAAAATGTGTTTTTGTTACTTGTGTAGTTGTAGCAGATGAGCAAGGTTTTCAGCATGTTCCTTCAGTGAGAAGGGAGAGTTGGTATTTAGTATCTGGGTCCCCGTTGGGTTAAACTTCTCTGAGCAAGACTGAAGAACTTCAAAGATTTATTTCTTTTTTACCAAACAGATTTCACTTTTAAAATTTCAGTGCAAGTATTGAAAGACAGTAGATCATAACATTTTCATTTATTACTGACTACAATCGCGAGTTAATCTATGCTGTTCTGTAGTTATTGTTACACTTTAATTTGTTTTGAAAAAAATCAAATGCATACTTCTGCAGATAAAAAAATTGATATTAATTGTAGGTTACCGAAATAGATCTTGATGGTTAGTTTTTTGAAGAGTATTTGTAAAAAGCGACTGAAAGTAGTCCTAACATCAGTTTTGGCCAATTTCTTGCAGTTTAATGTCCTGACTAAAGAGATGTCAACGTGTGTAAATAATGACTATTTTAGCAAGTGTCTCCTACACAACAATACTGAGTTCATTTTGTTACATTTCCGATGTGAAAGTGACACTTCGATAAAAGTCAATTCTGACAACCTGGAAATCGGCGTTTTTGCTTTCTGTCAGTTGTCGGGCTGTTCGGTCAGTGCATTTCGAACGTTTAATGATTTTTTTTATTTTTATTTGAAAGAAGCGTAAAAATATATATATAAAAAACTGTCAAAAAGTAAACACAAGAAATAATATTTCCATTTTGCTGTTTCCTGGTGGGCAAACTGCGTTTTGTACAAATATTTCATTATTACATTTGTCATTTAGAATATCTGTAAATACAAGCACTTTACACAAGTACACAACCGAGAAAAGCTCGATCCAGACTGAAATTGCGTTATATGCCTATCAGATCCAAAGTGGCTATTTTAGCATCTTTAAACTATGTCTAACATGTTGTAATGCAGAAATGGAAAAGTCTTATCAATCATTTTAAACACTTTATTCCTCCTTTTTACGATTTCTATAAGAGTGTACCTAAAAATAAGACGTGTTTGCACGTGTCCACTATAATATCCTCTACGTCGACGTTTGATGAGAGATCTTCGAGCATTTCGAAACCTCCATTTAGCCAGCTCAGGGATATCTCGTCTTTTGTGAATGAATCTAGGGTAAAAACAGTGTGTTACAATTAATACATCGTCAAACAAATACCACAGTAATGTTGCAATGTAACATCTGTAAAATTAAAGGTAAAAATTAAAACAAACTTAAGCTTGTTTTATTTGTAATATCACAGTAATTTTGAAAAAGGATTGCCACAATTTCTCAATAATCCCAGTATCTCTACCGTCTAGCCGAGATACTATGTATATATAAATAGGTTTTATGGTCAATGAGGATGTTTGTTTCAATATGCAACCCAAGCAGTCAATACTGGTATATATTACATATTTACAGTGGTCTTTGCCATCTGCCTTGCATCAACAAATATATTCTGACACACCGCTGCTCTACCATTGTTCTGAATTTTATTTTTGCATTGATTGCCGATATAGACACAGTCGGTCTTTACTCTCAAGCTCGTGGTGTCTTTGATGCCGTGATGGATAGAGCGTATATAAAGGTTGTGGAATACGTGCTTTAAATACTGTAAATCACCTCGATTTCGCGAGCACTTCATTTCGCGGATTTGCCTCTTCAGGCATGTTCGTAAATACACGATTTCGCAAACGCTGACCTAGAAATGACTTTGAACTCGTGAATGATGAGATAGTAAATAGATGGACACTGTGAGACCCGATACCATTAATCCAGTCAAAATAGATGCCATTGTCTTCGCGTATTAACGCGAAAATAAATCTCACGCGAAATAGAAGTGAGAGTAAATACATCCTATTGTCAATATCTTACTTTACTTTTTGATGGGACCCTTTGAAAATGGATAGGTTTATGAGGAATGTTACATAATGAAATGGATAGGTTTATGATGAATGTTACATTTTCATACCGCAGCGTGGTTTTGTAGTTACGTAAGATATATATACTATAGACAATGTAAGAATGCACTGGAACGCACACTGCTGAAGGAACTTTAATCGTAACCTAGGGTGAACCACAGAGAAAAGAAAACCCAAATAAATAAATAAAAACGTGCTTCGCTCATGGTGAGAAAGGTACAGAAATTTCCTGTAATATTTTCTATCAAAATCGCTACAGTTACGCGTCATTTTTTTTACTGAAGTCACTTGAAACTCATTCTCATTTTTATGGTAAGGTCCCGAACTGGATCATGGTCGAGAAATAAAATTTCCATATATTTTTTTCAATATGGTGTAATCATAAAAATCGAATAATTTTCTCTGATCTTATCGTTATCTTGACGGACTGTCGTCATTGAAAGGATGAAACAGCTATAACACACATTTTTTATCATATTGTCTTAAACTGATTTAATTCTTAAATTATACTGTGTTATTCACTGTAAAGTACTTTTAATGGCTGGAGCTGTGTGACCACTGCTAATTAACATGGTAGTATCGACAAATGATAAAGTCGTCAGGTCCATGTTGTACTGCATTACAACGCAAAACAAATACAGATCTTACAGCTTTTGAACCGGACAGTGCAGCGCTGGTTGCCATGAGGAAACTTGGAGTCAGACGAAGGACATGTAATCTGGAGAGACAATCTGAAAATGGCAGAAGGTATATTAAATCAATATTTATCTTTACCAGTAAAAGTAATCTTGTGATTGGTATAGTTTCATTTGAAAAAGCCTACTAACAACATTTATCTAGGTCATAGTTTACAAACCTTTCCTCGTTGAGAATGTTCAACACTTAAGAGTACTTTTTGTGAGGCAGTCATTTACGAAATGCAATGAAATGTCGGGTAAGGGCGCCTCCAACTGGGATTTGACATTTGTTGCAGATAATTTTGATTTTCTACTTTGGCTGTAGAAAATCAATACTTCAAGTTCCGAGTATCACCGGCTAGTCTTGATGTACACAAGAAGCTGTATGATGCTTTTTAAGGCCGGTGTTATTCACTCTTGTTTTGGTACAATGCTTAAATAGGTGTGCAGCGAAAAACAACAAAACAATACCAACATGTCAACATAATCATAATTCAAACTCATATTATAGGGCAAAATATGAACAAAACAAAGATTTACATGTTGACTCATGGAAATGTACAAGGAATGTGTTTCGAAAGAGTAAGCGTCTTCTGCTTCATCGACGACACCCGCCACGCAAATCTTAGTCTAGTTATATCACATTCTCAAATGAGGACTAGGTATATAACGACGGAACCAACAAACACGCATCAAACACGTCTACATTCATATCGGAAAAAGAAACATTTCTCAATGAGATCACTATGACGACCGTAAAACTTCTTATATAATTTTCATCAACCTGCAATGAAATTTCAACTTCCGACTGAAATTTCGTGAAATCAGGGTGAAACTAGAAGACTTTCAGAGGTCGCTGTACTTTATCTGTTCGCAGGGTCCGTAAAATTTGAGTCGATCTTATATAAATCTTTGACTTCCACGGATTTTGCAGTTTGCAGTATCTGTGTATCATTTAACGTTAGCAATACCTTGTGTGCGTTAATCATATTACACAGACTTGCTAGCACTTATGTTAAGAAAACCACTTCCACACAAGAATTAAAACGAAAATACTCCAAGTGGTGGGTCGGATTTAGTATCACCAAGTCACGCGGATTTATTTCGCGGATTTACATCTTCAAACATATTCGCGAATACATGATTTCCCGAATGATGATTTATAAATGACTTACAATTCGCGAATGATGAGGTATTGGATATATGGACTCCGATATCGTAAACCGAACCAGCACGGTTGTCATCAAGAATTAGTTCTATACAAACAATCGCGAAGAATTTGAATTCGAGACTGACACTCCTCGCGTATTAACGCGAAAACAAATCCCACGCGAACTATGATTTACAGCATTCTTATAACTCAATCAAATTTCAAACAAGCGAAACGAAACCAACCTGTTACTCTTGAGAACCGTTCCATTTGGCTGAATCCTAATAAATATATTAGGAAGGATGATGTCGTGCTGTGTTGACATCACAGCGCCCTCTGGATATACATCCGGATTCCATAACAACCCATGATTTCGATATACCAGGGCTGCCGTTGTCTGTCCAGAGGGTAAAGAGGACACATTGAAACATACTCTCGGATCATTCCAGGTCTGTAGTACATGTAGAGTCAATGTTATATCCTGTATATAATAAAATATGATGATAATCAAAAATGTTTTGTGAATACCAGAACTAGAAAAAATCTTGCATGTGTATTTACGTTGTCTATACCAGAGACATATACATAGAATTAGGTCTCCGTCAACTGTGTCATGTGCAGAAATATTTTCGAATTACCAAAAACTCGAATTTTGAAACCTTTAGAGTACAACATGGTTAAACTTAGCGAAGTCCCTCCCACTTTATAATTCTAATTTGTGGACCTTGTCAATTTCATTCACTTATCACCAGGGACGCGGTTACATGTATATACGCGCTCAGCATCAATTATTCTCATCACCAATAACGTTGTCTCTACATATAATTGGGTCTCCTTCAAATCAAGTGCATTTTCAAATTACCAGACACCTGAATTTTGAAACATTTTGAAGAAAACATGGTAACGCACCAACCGTTGTGACGCGCTTCTTCATTTCTTTCTCTAAGCACTAGTTACAAGTTGATGTGTCTAGCTTTCTAGATATCCATCCGGAGGACAAGGTTATCATATGCTAATATTTATTATCAACATGTCAGGAAAATCGCAGGATAATAAAAAGGTTTACTTACGGACTCTTCTGTACTTTTGATTTGAGAAATGCCGACTTTAAGTCTCACATCTATACTCTCACCTCCTGTAAAAGGAATAGGGAGCCTTTTTATCATGTCTATTTGAACAGAGTATGGCTTTCTTACTTAATGAATGCATACATGATTCTGTGTTTAGATGCAGTTTGATGGGGTTATAACTCCTTCAAACCTGGTCGAAGTAATTTTCCCGGCACAGAGCAATAAAGCTCGTTGCAAAAGTAAAATGAACGGAATGATATCTCTTTATAGAAGATATGTTCATGAAACATCAGTAAATGTTGTCCACGTGGTTATACCAAAGAAAAATACAATTTTAGTGTAATATCATATTTTTATGTACATCTATCTTGACAGTGTCTTTAATACATCACTAAACCTTAAGCAGAGAAATAATAAAAAGACCAAATGATGTACAAACAAGGCAATAAATTATGATGGTCTGTATATGCGAGAAGCAAGCTACAAGCCATGTTCTCCGCGCCGATCTTGAGCTATCATAATTTGTTTATCTTTAAATTATCATTAAATTTTTATGCAAATGTGTCCGCTATTAAGGCCTTTCGGTAGACTGGGAAACGATTAGAAATTGAATACAGTGATTCAAGCAATGAGTCGGAGAAGAAGGAAAAAGGAAAGGTGGGGATTTGATTGTTATGTATTACTGCCTTGCAAAGGTCCACTTTAAACCACATTCAGGGTAATATCATGTTTTTTACAGTTTGACAGTGTCTTTAGAAACAAGAAAAAGGACAACAAAAATGATGAAATAGGGAGCATTCCAACTGAACATCAAGAAGACGAGAAAAAAAAAAAAAAAAAAAACCAGCGTGAACATAATCTAAACTAGAATGCAATAAACCTAGAGCAAAGAATAAACAAAAGAAAGATTCACGAGGAGAATATTGAAAAACAAAGGAAATATCAACGTGTGAACATTTCTATTCATATTCAATAAAACAAAGGAAATATCAACGTGTAAACATTTCTATTCATATTCAATAAAACAAAGGAAATATCAACGTGTGAACATTTCTATTCATATTCAATAAAACAATGGAAAAGTACGTACAAAATAAAGATTTACATGGAGAATTTTTAAAAAGTACAAAGATAGGTATATCGGGTGTTCCGGAAGAGTAAGCATGTTCTGCTTCATCAACGACATCCGACATGTATATCTTGGTCGATCCAAGTAAGTAATGTCACGTCCTCAAATGAGAAAAAGGTATACAACAACAGAACCAACAGGCAAGCAATAAATACTCGCAGCTTCGAATCGTAGAAAGAAATAGACTATATCTTAATGACATAACTCTCACGATCGTAAAACCTCAATACAGTTTTCAATAACCTGTATCTCTAGAAACCATGTATTGTAAGTTTGTACGTCAGTTATTGACATTTTGAACATTCAGTTTATAATAGGGTATGGTGGTGTTAAAATGATTGAAATATCATAAACTATTTGCAGATGTAACAAGTTGTACCAGCACTATGCTGTATTAAGTATAGTTGAGATACGTGTACATTAAAAAGATAAATATACCATTCGTAGACCATGGCGGGTTATAGAAATTGTAGGTCTCCTGGGAGAGCCGCTCGTTCAGTGTTTCCCAACTGAAAAAAAAAAGAAAATCAAAGATTCAACGGCAGAAATTATCCAGAAACTAAAATATGACTTATGGGTTAATTCAATCTCCACTTCACTGTATGGCTCGGCTGTGTCTCACTCTAAATTCTGAAAAGGTGTTATTCACTTGTGTCTCTTTTGTACGTTCTTCTATATTTAGATATCAATTCTGACGAATATTCTGACTTTCCCCAGACGCCTCATAAATATTCATGCCCTTATCATCTCCAAGGACTACTACACATTATAATGAATTCAGTTAATCCTTTATCTATGATAATTCTAGTATCTGTGTTGTAAAGTAATATTCAACAAAGTGTCTTTTGTTCAATCCTTTCCGAAAGCAAGGGGTAGACATAGCTGGTGTACGTAATTGCTTGCGATTGACGTTAACCCCGAATATCAAGGTAACATTAGAATAGTGGCATTTTTCATAACATGTGCATGCATTTGACTTCTTTGCTAGAGAGTATTTGAAATGATTATTTTTGTGAATTATGGAATCACTGCACCTCCACAACTGAATATTGAGGATTGTTTCGGGCAATTGGTATTTTCCTTATGTGGTAATTTTCATCTATCAAATAAGCGTCACGTGCGTGTGATCGAAAAAAAATCCACATATAAAAGGTGTTGATTACCTCATTATTTGAATATTTTACTGGGAGGTGTTATTCAGTGATGTGACTATCGTATTGTCCGTCTAGTGACGCCACTTTCACATTAATTAGAACTTCGGCGGTTTGATAGACTAATTTCCGCTTAAAATGAAAGTTTCCTGAAAATGTGAAGGCTGGCACTTTTACAGCTTCACCTTTTTTCTTGACAATTCTCATAGATAAATTGTTTATTTGCACAGCATGACACGCAGGCTAGATAGCATGTCTGTCGGTATCCATTTGTGCAATTATATGACATGTGGGACAATACATTTTATGGCTCTGATTGGTTAGATATTATCGCTACAATTGTACACGATAACAAATGAGTTATTGATTTGTCAGTCATACACAAGTTGTTGTAAAAGGATAATTAATTTGTTGACTTTGAAAAGCTTACAAAATTATTGACATACATAATTGAATGATTGGCACTAAAATTGGCTCTAAAATATGTTACCAATGAAACATTTCAGTGTCAGAAGTGACAGCAAAGGCATGATAGACAGTTATCAACGTCAAGGGCAACAATAAATACAAGTACAATGGTACTCTCTAGGTATCACCTCAAACATATGCATTATGACTGACAATTTGGCAGAAATATCACAAATGGCGAATTATGGTGACAACATCTATTTCCTGTCTACCAACTACATTGTATAATTATCAATCAGTCATATTATCTATGCGAAAATAAAGCAAATCTACATACCAGTCAACACCCTATAGTGTTAATAAAGATCGTTGGCTGACAAATCTACATCCCAGTCAACACCCTTTAGTGTTAATAAAGATCGTGGGCTGACAAATCTACATCCCAGTCAACATCCTATAGTGTTAATAAAGATTGTTGGCTGACAAATCTACATCCCAGACAACTCTCTATAGTGTTAACTCTCTACAGTGAGAACTCCACAAGGACAACATTAGTATATCAATAAAACGTACACACAAAGTAGCAGGCCTCAACATGCATCACACATGATTTTATTCTGTTCTGAAATTGTCCACCCTAAAATTGATGATCATTTTGGGTAATCGTATCGGTACAGTTATATCTACAGTATAATTGTAATGTGAGGGACAGATAGAGGTTATCAGTAAAAGACAATTATTTCTCTCTCTAAATGTATCCTGATGTAATAATGACAGCAATTTAACAGCAACATGGTATGCTGTGTGAAGCTGTTTGTATGTACATGGACTGATAATGATCAGACTATGTAAGGCGACCAATTGGTTCCCACTAGTTAAATTTCGTACCCAGATCATCCCGTCCGTTGATTCTATACCAGAGCCTTGAATGACATCTCAATATATCACTAATCATAATCGACGATATGAACATGATTAGCCATGTTTGATGTCTCTCACTGGTACTGTATATGCTTGAACAATTCATCACTCGGAAGCAGTCGACCTTTTCAGGAATAGTCGATAATAAAGATACGTTGACAAAGCTATCACGTCACACATAGTCGGTTCTGGTATACCGTCAATCGATATTTGTTAGTGAAATTATCATTTCTTTTTTACTTCTACCTTCTATATAAAGTGTCATTATATGATGATTTATTCAAACTATTTTGCTCACATTTGTATTTACTAACTAGTACGGAGTCTTATTGTTAGTAACCCCATATTCTATAGACGACATAGCTTATTATATATAATTATTGATACCTGACTCTCTAGGTAAATGTATATTTAGCACTTTTCATTGTTTCCCGGCAAAATTGCTAAAACATCGTATCCAACCGTTCAATAGTCGAAACCGGACACTTACAACCATTCAAACGATTGTAATAAAGCCTCTTTCTGATCGTGATTGCTTATGTACATACGTCCCATTCTCAGCACCCACTGGCTATCAAGCTTATCGCTATACCATCTAACAGAGTGAAACAAAGGGCGGTAACTCTGGGATATCAGAATGATACTTCCAAACAGGACAAAAGTATTATATACCTTTTCAGCACCTGATTACTTTGGATAAGGCTTCGTTCATCGCGTTGGACCCGGGGAACACCTCGGGGAAATAGGTTTGACTGCTGACTGATGATGTACATAAAGATGTTTGTTGTTGTACTATGTGTTTTTTGTTGCCATAATGGAAAACAGATATTAAACATATTTGTATAAATTATCTTAACTATTTCATTGTGTACACTGTTCATTGGTCAGTTATTCAGGTTTACACTCGAATTGTGTTCTCGCTGGATAGTTTGGATTCCCTTTTCCTACAGAGGCTACTGTATGTTAAATATTGTCATTACAATACAGTTTATAAACATATTATGGGTAATCACCAACAGATTTTGGTATTTATCACGCCAAGTAGTAATTTGTCTACACATATCCATACCGCAGTCGTATGCTAGGCGCCTAAATTGTTACACTTGTTTCTCTACAACAGCTGCAATATGTACATTATATTTACATCCTCTATATTCGTGGGCATTGTTTGCACTTTACCAAAAATTATCTCCGCATGCTCCTGTTTTGAAAAAAAAAAAAAACATACATAGCTATCATCTGTTAGTAATGATGACCAGGACGGGGAACGTTTTCCATATACGTAGCTTATATCAGTAAACAAGGATGACAAGGATGGGGACGTCTTCCATATACGTAGCTTACATCAGTAGGTAATGATGACAAGGATGGGGACGTCTTCCATATACGTAGCTTACATCAGTAGGTAATGATGACAAGGATGGGGACGTCTTCCATATACGTAGCTTACATCAGTAGGTAATGATGACAAGAAGGTATGGGGGGGGACGTCTTCCACGTCTTCTATAGGTAATGATGACAAGATGGGGGACGTCTTCCATATACGTAGCTTACATCAGTAGGTAATGATGACAAGATGGGGGACGTCTTCCATATTAGTAGCTTACGTCAGTAGGTAATGATGACAAGGATGGGGACGTCTTCCATATACGTAGCTTACATCAGTAGGTAATGATGACAAGATGGGGGACGTCTTCCATATTAGTAGCTTACATCAGTAGGTAATGATGACAAGGATGGGGGACGTCTTCCATATACGTAGCTTACATCAGTAGGTAATGATGACAAGGATGGGGACGTCTTCCATATACGTAGCTTACATCAGTAGGTAATGATGACAAGGATGGGGGACGTCTTCCATATTAGTAGCTTACGTCAGTAGGTAATGATGACAAGGATGGGGACGTCTTCCATATACGTAGCTTACATCAGTAGGTAATGATGACAAGGATGGGGGACGTCTTCCATATACGTAGCTTACATCAGAAGGTAATGATGACAATGGTCGGGACGCCTTTGATATCGCCTTACCTTGCGGTCTATTAGTGTCTCATGTAAAACTCTTCAACTGCTGTTCGTCACATATGAAAAATTTTCTGAAATGTTTTATCTATTTATCTATGCATCTATGCATCTTACATCTCTCATTTGGAAGGAGAGTACTCATATATCATTTTGGCTTTCATGAAAACACAATGCCTGCACCCATACTGAATTACTTCACTTAGTCGAAGGATACGGATGCTTTAGCACGGGTCACCAATTTTTCTGGTATTTCAGATATACAATATGTATAACAAACAAGTTTTCATCAGTGATATATATGCGTCAAATGATAATGTTATATATCATCATAGTTTAATTATCAATGAGGTAGTCAATGTCACCCCTTAGTCACAAATGGGTACCTATGTACATGACACGGTATATACACATAAATATGTCAAGGACATGACCTAGGTAGAACCGAGGTTAGCATGCCATGTATCTCATAGAACAAACGTGCCAAGTCATGCTGAAAGACATCATTTTACGAAAGAAATGTCTCCGTAATAACGAAAATTGAGAAGTTAAATTTTAAGTTCAGTTATATGTATCGTCATCATTTGTAGATTCAATGTGCGTGTAAGGCTTCATTTCTCGTATAGTCATCGTTTTATTTCAGCCATTAGTTACTTGAGATTGTAAGACATTTAAATCACTTAATAGCTTCGTTAATAATCAGATAGATATTGTATTGGGTTTTTCCCTGTCTTTCTTTAAAGCCTGTTTAAGTGTCTCGTATATGAAAACATTTTAATTTCGTGCACTTTCCACTTTTGACGACCATAACAATTAAGGTAGAAACACCTGTTTTAACGAACATCAAATGATAACCTCCGGAGAATTCATTCCAAATAAATCTACATGTATACTTTCCAAATACCGATCTAGCTGGTACGACAACATTCAGTTTGTAGTAGGTATCTGATACTGCAGCCTTTATATATATATACATATATATGCTTGTAGGCATTGCCTTGTTCCTCATCCTTCCTATTGTTTCTATTCAGTTTCTATTGACTTATAAGTGTTACACACTAATTGATCGAGGCCTTGATATCAGCTTCCCTGAAATCGAAGTCCGATCTGTCGGTATTTCGTCTCTGATCTGAGTAATGATATCTCATAGAATATCAAGTACACTACCTTCTCAATAATACAACCCTTGAATATTTGAAACACAAAATGTACATAGGAAATACCATCAATATAGAGTACATCCAATAGCATTACCCAAAACTAAGTGTATCATCGCCAAGTTATATATCCAGTTATACGTGATAATGTTCCATTTCTTCAACCTTCACTGTTTACCATAGTATTTTTCAGTATGAGTCACCTTCGGATTTAAAAAACTTGAACTGAACACGTGTCACAGTAGTATGGCCAAACATTTAACACAAATATATATCGTAGATAGAAGATATCAACCTGAGCTTGATGATATAATATCCATTTTGATGTATGTAGACTTACCTGATATTACAGGCAGCTTGAACTTGGTAGGAGACTAATAAAAGATTCAGAAAAGCCAGGTACCCTGCCATCACCGCTGTTATCCGTGACAATGACTGCCACACAATATTACCACTACTGTCGAACAGCCGGCAAAATCAGTGAACCTGACTCTCTGTAGCTTGGTGTCTGTATATAGACCATAATTTTGTCTTCCGTTGTGGTTCCACAGTGGTTGCTTTACAAACAGGGATTCGTGCGTAACAAAAATATATCAGCGAAAAGAAGTAGTTTTAAAGGCAGGTGAAAAACTTATTACTTATTGGCACGAGTGACAATGCATTTATGACTAGAAATAAGTAGAAATAGATAATGTTTGGGATACAGAGTTTGACAAACATTAAGAGACCCGAGCCTACAACAATCAAAAGTGTAAAGATGACATCAATAAATCGAATAATGAACAATCCTGTAGACACTGGAATACCAGTAATTACAACATCAATGAAAGTGTGATATCTGAGTATCTACATAAGTAAAATACGTAAAGCTTACAATGTCAAGTTAAAGACATAGTGATTGTATGAAAGCCTTCCTCTAAAGTGACTGAATATATGGCCCAACAGTTTATTCCACATAGGTTCTTCAGTCTTGAATACCGATTCAATCTCCTATCAATCTATTTTTTCATAAATTGTCACGTACAATAGCCAGCCCGTCCTATCGTGTTTGAACAATAGAACGTTAAAATACAGTTTCAAAATAGGATAAAGTGTCAATATGGCTGTGGATTTACGTGTGTTTTATCATATCTTAAAATTATATTCATAATTATGATATCTCAGTTTTGAATTTCAATATTTATCTTAATTTAATCAGATACTATTTTACATAACTCGGTAGTTTAAAACCACCTTACAATACTAAATCTAACTTCGTGGTCTAATTTTAGTTAAGTTGAATAATCGTTACAAATAACCTTTGACTCTGGTTGTTTTATTTCAGTACGGAACTGAATTTTATTCACTAATTAATTTTCCTGTATACTCATTCATGCTTTGCAATATTTTTATCATTTTTGCTGTGTTTTCATAGACAGCCTAACCTTGACATCAATTAGAGCACAGAAATTAAAATATGGTTATGTAAAAATTCTTATAAACAGCTACACCGGTACACGTGAATTTAATACTTTGATAAAATTATATAAAATATCAGATATCTATAGCTTATCAAAATACTGAATGAAGTGTCAGTTGTATGTAACTTTTTGTTTTGATCTTAAATGATGGAGTGATGTACCCCATGTTAATTGTGTGTAACAATTTGTTTTGATCTTAAATGATGGAGTGATGTACCCCGTGTTAATTGTGTGTAACACTTTGTTTTGATCTTAAATGATGGAGTGATGTACCCCATGTTAATTGTGTGTAACAATTTGTTTTGATCTTAAATGATGGAGTGATGTACCCCGTGTTAATTGTGTGTAACACTTTGTTTTGATCTTAAATGATGGAGTGATGTACCCCATGTTAACTGTGTGTAACTATTTGTTTTGATCTTAAATGATGGAGTGATGTACCAGGTGTTAATTGTGTGTACAAGAAAACCTAAATAGACAAAAACATATGTAACGACAAAGAGGCGTGGACTCACTTACTCGCGTATAATTAAATCAGTTTGGGTTATTTTTGGCAGCCAGCACGTACTAATATACTAAATGCCTGAAACGGCGCTACGATCCATCAGATGTTGGAGGAGTCGTGCAGATCTGATGAGGGTACGGCAAATATCACGGATGACGTAACATGTAGGGTAACACAAATATCACGGAAGATGAAACATGTAGGGTAAGACAAATATCACGGATGATGTAACATGTAGGGTAAGACAAATACCAAGGGCGACGTAACATGTAGGGTAAGACAAATACCAAGGGCGACGTAACATGTAGGGTAAGACAAATATCAAGGGCGACGTAACATGTAGGGTAAGACAAATATCACGGATGATGTAACATGTAGGGTAAGACAAATATCACGGATGATATAACATGTAGGGTAAGACAAATATCACGGATGATGTAACATGTAGGGTAAGACAAATACCAAGGGCGACGTAACATGTAGGGTAAGACAAATATCAAGGGCGACGTAACATGTAGGGTAAGACAAATATCAAGGGCGACGTAACATGTAGGGTAAGACAAATATCAAGGGCGACGTAACATGTAGGGTAAGACAAATATCAAGGGCGACGTAACATGTAGGGTAAGACAAATATCACGGATGATGTAACATGTAGGGTAAGACAAATACCAAGGGCGACGTAACATGTAGGGTAAGACAAATATCAAGGGCGACGTAACATGTAGGGTAAGACAAATATCACGGATGATGTAACATGTAAGGTAAGACAAATACCAAGGGCGACGTAACATGTAGGGTAAGACAAATACCAAGGGCGACGTAACATGTAGGATACGACAAATATCTAGGGTACAACAAATACATGTAAAATGTCAGGGACGGAGTGACCATCCATCATACTGTAGAAAGTTGAAGGAAAGATCAGGGAGTGAGTGACCATCCATCATACTCTAGAGGCTTACAGCAAAGGCCAGGGACGGATTAACATTCCATCAGAATTCAGAGGGCTACAACAAAGGTCAGGGACGGATTGTTCACCCATCATACATCAGAGGCTTACAGCAAATGCCATCCATCATACTCTAGAAAGTTGCAGGAAAGATCAGGGAGTGAGTGATCATCCATCAGACTTCAAAGGGTTACAGCAAAGATCAGGGATGAAATTGTCCTTCCAGAACTTAAGATAAAGCTTTTCAGTTTACAGGTACGGAGGTACTATCGATACGACTTTAAACGAAGCATGCCGGGTTACATCAAACAATCAATAATTAAAGCACACGGTGTGCTTGCAGACTTTGATCGAAATATGACTCGGGAACACGATATCATAGGCTGTAATGCACAACGACTGAAATCAATGCAAAGTTTACAAAATACTTGAAAAGGCATGTATTTATAGAGAGTATCACAGTTTCACCTGTGTCATCTATAAACCTCCCTTACCCCCCCCCCCCCCATCAGAATTCAGAGGGCTACCCCCCCCCTTCCCGGACCATTGCTACACTTTATCGAACATTTAAGCCGTAATGTACAGGTATGGGATCGATACTGTAGGTTTTCTTTTATTGTGTTTGCTACTTCGTGATCTGATGTGATCAACACCATTGAGCCATCTTTTTTGTATTTCACATATACTTTATGTTTGCATGTAAATATAGGTAGATATTTGGAGACTTACACCTTGCAACGGCTCAGACATTTAGGGGTATGTTGTTCTAAAAATTATTTATAATTTGTGAGAACACCATGGTGGCGTTTTTGATCCCCACCTAGGACCAAATGTCTTCTCATGTAAAATTTGTTGTTCATGCTTGAAACGTTTATGTTTCAAGTTCGTCGTTTATATATTAATAAACGGCCAAATCCCCACCTAGGACCAAATGTCTTCTCATGTAAAATTTGTTGTTCATGCTTGAAACGTTTATGTTTCAAGTTCGTCGTTTATATATTAATAAACGGCCAAATCCCCACCTAGGACCAAATGTCTTCTCATGTAAAATTTGTTGTTCATGCTTGAAACGTTTATGTTTCAAGTTCGTCGTTTATATATTAATAAACGGCCAAATCCCCACCTAGGACCAAATGTCTTCTCATGTAAAATTTGTTGTTCATGCTTGAAACGTTTATGTTTCAAGTTCGTCGTTTATATATTAATAAACGGCCAATTTCAATCAAATCTGATCTTTTATCTTAACTTTTATGCTTATACATTTGGTCCAACTAGCTTGCCCTCACCACGGTCATGTATAAATAGGTAGATATTTGGAGACTTACACCTTGCAACGGCTCCGACATTTATAACAGATTGAATTTCTAATGACAGTATAGCACACATCACTCTCACATATACACCTAAATTACCAACACTGACATATTATAGGGTACTTGGAAATATGATACAAGTATTCCAACTAACAAACTGATGATACGACATTTCTGCAGTGGAAGGATTTCTTAAATATAACACAACTTGTCATTTAAAAGGGACGGTAGAGTGGTTAGCTATTAAACAAGGTCGTCACATCACCAACGCTGAATACATTTGAAGCCCGGCTGTATAACCACTATAATCAGTCATATTGTTTCTAACAATGAACTTATTGATTGTTTGAGAATAGTTGATTTTTATGTAAAGAGTAATCACGTGCATCTAGTTATTACAAATGAGATCAATATTTGATGTATCATACCTAAACCTATCCGTATTGGAGCAATCATTACCGCCTTGCCGTCTCCTTCTATTTAAAGCATATCAACGCCAGTAGTTCTGTTACAGCTCGTTTTCAATGGCAATTTTCCTATTTTACGCCAAAATTAAAAGCAATTTTGTAAGCAACATAACCAAAAAGATACTTATTGAATGTACTTTGATTAGTCAAGATCACCTCAATTGCTGTATGATATGTATTTACTTGTATGTAAGACGTCCAATATTATGGCACAGACTGCCTTTTTTGTCATATAGTTAATTTTCTATGAATATTTTTCTACATGCACTTTTATCGTAAAAAAAGTAATGAATACAAAACATTAAATGGCTCCTTCCCATTGAATATTAAATATATAGTTCATATTTTCATTTTTCAAAAATATGACAGAAAAGAATTCCTCAACAATACTGATAATTAGCCATTCACGCGAAATGAGGATTCTTCGATTTTTAACAGGTAATACATGCTCTTATTCATACATTATTCAATACACTGCACCTGATGGTGCATAGTCCTGAAGATAGAGGAATATTTGATCAACCTTCCGATTAAGATCTTTAAGGATCAATAACTGATTACAGTCTAAACTGTGTTACCAGCCCACTTAGTTCACATTGACAGGAGTGTAGTAACAAGACATATAACACATCGTCCATCAGTTCGATTAACTCAGGTTTTAAATTTGAGACCACGTGGGTTTATAGATTAGTGGAAGCATTTGTCCTTCCCAGA